CTCAGTGCCGGTGCTGTCATAAGGTGCCGCTTACATTCACCGATTTATGCATCAGAATCTTGTAGCCCGCGTGGTATGCAGAGCTCGGTTGGGCCGTAGCTTGAGAAAGTATCACAGTTTCGAAAGTAAATTTGAAGCTCAGGGGTAAGGGTTTGAAGTACCAACCCGACTGACCGCGGTTCGAGTCCTGACAGGGACACAAAAAGTACGCACTGCTGATGAGTCCCAAACAGGACGAAACAGCTGTCCAATGCTCTTTGTTGGTTATCCCAAATATTTCCATCGTATTTCAATGCATACAAATAGTGGGGAATTAACGATCTCCCAAGGAGTGAAACCCACACCGAAGACCATCAAGAGTGCCTGGTGCCTCTAAACAATCAAATGGGCTAATCCAAGCTTGATACTCTAAATACTACTGCTCTTCTTTCTCCAGATCATGCTGGTGGTAGTTCCACGAGTCGAGCCGATCTAAATTAAATTTCTTTCCGTCACTCAAGTAGACCAAATTCCATTTGAATCACTTTATCCGTCGCATCAAGACCGAAAGAAGACATGCCGCGAAATGCTAACACCTCGTTTAATCGTCTTAATCTCAGACATTAAACAAATAGGCACATATATAGCACGTTGGGTTGGTAAATCCTGGTGAACGAGTCTACCTTGTACAAACGCAATGTGGACGATACCATCATAGTTACAGAGCGTGAACATTTTCAATCTCTTTGGAAAGATTTGAACTCTGTTCATCCACATCTCTCCGTATCACATGAAGAAGAAATCCGTGATTCTCTGGCGCTTTTTGATATCATAATTATGAGGCATTTAGATAGTGCTTTCAAACGTTCTGTTCACCGAAAAGCAGGATGGAGCGGTCAGCATCTACATGTCGCGAGATGTTAAAATTTCAATTGGTCTTCTCAACCGCTGCCGTCCAACAAACAGGCACATTGAGTTGGCAAATCCCAGTGGCCAAACGTGTACGGATAGACAGAGGCTATTGATTTAAATACCTTAGCATTTACTGCGGCGTTATTAATCAGATCAAATCATCTCGTTCTATGCATCACCAAGTTATGGATACAATCAGTGGAGTTGACCTCTTGTGTATTTGTGTGTTTTAACTCGTACAGGCTGCTATCTATCTGTACACGTTCGTTCACTGGGATTTATTCATCCAATGTGTTATGTACAGATGCATTAGGAATTTTCATACAATAAATAGTCAGTGCCGCCGATGCAGACAACTAGCAGTTAAAAATTACAGGTCATTATCGTACAGTTCTGGGTACCCTGAACCGCGCTCTGGTACACAGGCGCATGTGCACACGATTTCCTTCCGATCCGTGCCCGTTTACTGCATTCAGTGAAACAGTGAGAGGTTCCGGGGACAGTATATAGTTGGTATGATAGACACAGCCAATCAATACTGCACCAGAAATCTACGCGAATGATTTGTGATTTTTAAGTACTGGTTAGCTGGCGCATTCAGACAGAGTTTGACTTGGGTCGTTTGAGAATCTGACTACTTGGTGTATGAGAATTCATGATGCACTTGTATGAGCTTGTTTGTTTTACATCAGCAATTGAAAAAAACCATTCGCTCTTTCAATTTTCATGATTTTCGGTCCCCAATCAAATTTCTTCGGTTCACTAAGTTTTTAGAGACATGCGCCCTTTCATTTTTCTGTAATCCATCCTAGTCCTTCCTAGCTTTTCAGTTCACGCTTCATTTGCTATATACACGATAAATTTCCCCTTTGAAACTGAATCAAATCCTCCATTACTCGCACGAGACGGAGGATAAACATTATGACATGTGTTGCCAATCGGTGCATTAACAATACACGTGTTCAGTAAGAACTCGATAAGCACACACACACACACACGCTCGTGTACATGTGTAGGCACATTAGAGAAGACAACCAGATCCAGTCGAGAAAATGGTGGTCATGACAACAAGCAAATATGCACGACCAATTCAAGCGACCACGTTAGGGTATAAACAATAGTTGGATGAAGATGAGGAAAGGGGCGGGCGGGNTCGTGAAATTGTACTGTGACTTTCATCGAAATGCGCAACAGAGCACGAGTACAGTAGGCGAAAGCAGGAGTTCATGAGTAAAAACGAGTTTTTCTATCGGCAAATACAATCCTCAGCTGAATAGAACTCTACATATAGGGGACCAGGATAAAATCATCACATAAAGGAAACAAGGATAGACGGTAAATGTCGAAGCTTGCTTGGTATGATAGTGAGAATGAGAGCACGCGAAATTGATGGTCAATATCAATTCTGCCCACATGTCTTCTTTTGTTGATGATATGGTGAGACTGTTTGGAAATCCCAGCAAAAGAGCTAACATATAGACATTCAGTTTAATCCCTCGCGTCACTCTTCATCTCCTGTTGTGAAAGGATCTATCCATTGGCATATAAACTGCTCAGTCGTGGGGCCTGGAGTGTAAGCCAACAATGATATGGAAAGAGATGACAAGACATGTGCAATTTATTTCATAACTCCGGGAGGCGACTGATGCCTACTTTTCATGATTGGAAATGCCTGGAACAAATATAATTCAACGGGTCATCCTTGGTCTCGATGCAGCTAACAAATCAGCCTACTTTATGTGTCAAAATGGGCAAACATTGGAAAACTAAACGCCCTCTGGATTTACTTCTCAGACAGGCACAGCCGACGACTGTCAAGTGGAAAAGGCCACCAACTTATCCCCCTGGAAGCTGTGTTCGAATCCCACTACCACTGTCTAACTTGCCCCATTTTCTATGTATCATACGGCAACTCTTGGATTGGGAGCAACCCTGCTAACTGAAATTCGTTTGTATCGTTTTGTATTCGATGAAATGAAAAATACAATAAAACAAATACATCACGCTGCGACCGTAAAAAATTGACGACTGAGAATACCACAAACCCATGATATTACACGGTGTCAACGGTACAGAATTCTGTCAATCCTAGCCATGCCACCTTTCCCAGTGCTGTGCTTCCTTAAAAACTTGTTATCCACATACTGAACATCCGGTCGAGGGAACTGTTGTGATCAACTGGTAACGTGATATCACTTCAGGATGGAAACAATCAGATGAGAATAGATGGTGATTTTTGAGCAGTTGTAGCCGTTGACTCTAATGCGCTTTGGTTCGCAGGATCCGAGGTTCGAACCCTGCTACCATCACCCAACTTTGGTAGTTGGCAGCTTCGCTGTTGTCCGGTTCAATACCACGCTTATGCTGGCCGGGCCTCACATGGTTCACCACTCTACATCCAGGTTCCCGATTCCCATGATCGAACACTGGGTCCTTGCGAATCTGTGATTTACCCCTTTTGCTGTTCATCAAACAATGTGTCTAGTAAAAAATGGATGACGATCATATTACGCATGTAGCAGTTAGTGTGTACTGCTTGACCGAGATGTAAAATGCATGGATGTAAAATATAAACGAGTCCAGAAAGATAATGATCCCCGAAAAAGACAACTGACCCGATTGAAATCCAATTCATTGGCCACGTAATCGCGCGCTTTTTTGAATTCGTCTTTCAGACCCATAATGTACAACGTGTCCATTCCGTCGATGATTGTGGCACCCAGGGGAATTTTCCCGAGCACTTCCGGCTGATGACCCTTTTTGGAGATCGGTTTTAACTCACTGCTACCCCAGGCGTATTGCACATATGCATCCCATGCTTCTTTGGCCATCTGATAAACACAAGGGGCGTGTGAAAAATGGAAATGAATTTAGAATTCCGCTAAATTTGTTTTGATTTGGGGGTTCGAAATGAAAAATGTATCGAGGCATAAACAGACATGCTGCACTGTACTCAAACTATGACAGACAAGACAGATAATAGAACGACTATTTTGATACAAATACTAAGATGAGCGAGGCGCGAAGCACGCGACAAGTTCACAAAGATGCGTTGTGTAAAAGGAAAATGAAAAATTGTCTAACTAGTTGCCTGGTGGCCGAGTGGGTAGCATGCTTGCGTTCTGCCTGTGAGGTCCCGGGTTCGTGATCCCCAGTTGGGTCGATAGATTCGCACTACTGATGAGATCCAATCAGGTCGAAACAGCTGTCCAGTGCCTCCTAGTTTTTCAGTTCACACTTCATTTGCTCTAAACACAACGAATTCCTTCTATCAAATAAAATTAATCCATGATTTTGGTGGTGATACAAAGACATGATTACTGCAGAGAGTAAAAATAAAGATAATCGATGGTAGGCTAACTCAAGTATGTGACCAGCGGAATTGTCGGTTACGTCTCCAGATATCAGATAGAAGAGAGGCAACCCAGGTTATTAACCGTGAACGGTGAGTCACTGCCTAATCGAATAGATGGTAGCAAAAGATCAGTGTCGAGGAAGTGATGGATTTACGCTTGGTGAGCTATCCTTGTGCAACAAACGCCCGCTAATATCCGAGCAAAGCCATCAGTATCACGTTATGAGCAGACAACTAGTTATTGAAATTCCAAGGACTACAGATTTAATATAAAAGAAAAAGGTGGAATGATATTGAAGGTGCTGCTTTGCACCAGATTCATAAGACCCGATGAAACTGAATCATCCTCGTGCAGAAGAAAATCGGCTAAAATGTATAACCTGATCGATGGGGCACAAACGTCGAGCCGATCGCGGATACAATGGACCGTGCAATCGCTGGTTCAATTGTTGGTGTGACCTTTTAGTCAAAACATAGAGTGAAGCCTATTTAATTTTCACTGAGCGATTAGCCCCAAAACCCACAGCATTGAGAAACTACGAACATGAACCCTAGGTTTCTTCGTCTTTCGCCGTGATTTGACCGATGCTGGTGCCTCATCTGCTTCAGATAGGAGTGTAAGCAATGATCTGTGATAAGCAGCGCTGCAATCGCCCGGTGCAATACCGTGTCTATCTTATTTGGGCCATATGTGGTTCACCACTCCAAATAGCAGAGTCAAAGCGACCGGGTTCTCAGAAACAACTCAACATTAACTACACAGTATGTCAGCCGGGATTGCATTCATCAAAATAATGTGGTCATAATTGCAACACTGACTCCATGAATCGCTACACTGAATCAACTGGTCAGTGAACCACTGGCAGTTGAATAAAAACCCAGATTTCAAACCAGCCAAGTGAAGGCGTACACACAGGCATCCTCCTGATAACAAGTGGTTAACGGTTTCCTTGGATATTGTGGTGCATTGAACACCTTGGACGTTTGAGCCCAACCAAAAGATCACGGTTCTCACACTACTCTGCTGTCTGGTGGGTTAGGCTTTAGTTAGTCCAGGGCCCTGGTNTTCCCTAGAATAGTTATCTGCTTTGGCCCTACGTACTCTTGAGCGATTAACTCCTGCAGGAGGACAGGGCGACTTCCTGGATGTTTCTAACGATGGTGGCTTATGCATGACGATCGGTGGCAAGGTTGGCGCAGTGTGAGACCCTGTTTTAGTTCCTGTTATGAATTTCATACACGGATTGGAGGTTCAGTAATTCCAAGTTCGTCTTGATCGCACTGCTACATGTGTTCAGTTGACCACCGAGTCGGCAACGCCATCCACGGCACAGCGCAGGAGTTACAGTCTGCCGCGAGAGTTCATTGTAGGGCCTTCAGAACACATGGTCAACCCCCTAAAGGCGCCGGTGTTGTGCCCGGGTCCCTGAGTAGTACGACTTTAAAAGCCTGATGAACTTATCTAGCATCCCATTAGACCACAATATGCGCCAGAAGGATTCTCCATCGACACAATCGAAGGCAGTGAGGAATTCGATGAAACATGCTGTGGTAGATTGTGGTAACTTGTAGCGGCCTGGGTAACCTGGCAGTATTCTATCCGAGGTAAATTCACGAACGGATTTCTTGGTTGTAAAGGTTATTTTATCGCGGTCTGCTCGGCGGCAAACCAGTGTTGACCGTGTACCGGTAATACCTACCTGTCTGACTTCGTTGCGCATGGCAAGCACTTTAGGATCACTGGGTTCGCCACCCTGAATCTCCTCTTGGGTCATAGGCGAGGACTGGGTGGGTTTGGGTAGGACCGGTTTCGGTTTTTCCGCAATCGGTCCTTCAACTTGTTCCGCACCGGGTGCTTCTTCTTCCGGTGCGAGTGGGACCACTTTCGGAGGTTGAACTTGAGGTAGCTCATCGGAACCAGGCTGTACTGGCCGGTGTGGAGGGGGCAAAGCCTTTGGAACTTCCGGAATTTCATTTCCGGGTACCGGGAAAGCCGGAGGATGGATCTGAATTGAAAGCGGAATTGGGTGGAAACCAGCGAAGATGAATAAGGTCCAGGCATTACGATAAAACGTTTTACATGTCATTAGGTGAAATCTATGAAAGTGCCAAAGGAGACTATTCTGTCCAACATGCACTTCACATGCTGTTCAATTGGAAAGAGAAAAATTTGAAAAACGTTTCTCATCGAACTAAGGTGTATATGATACGACAATAGGTGATAATAATATCCAGTATATACTATACTTAGTTCATTGATAATTCAGTCTGGTGTTTACCGAGACAAACCCGGAGAATTATCAACTGAGCATAACTAACAACAAATGAGAAATCTAGAGGTAGAACGGCGTATACATAGAAAAAACAGCTTTCGTCAGGTACATTGCCGGTGGATAAGCTGTTCCGGTCGTCCGAGCTTTAAACCCTACCGCGAACTAATGCGATCGGTCACTTCTTCTCATAAAAGGTAAGATTGTCGTTTACTATGCATAAACAGAGGAGTTCTCGTAACTGAAGGAATTACCTGTGGTTCATCGTACAACCGAGGATAAAGAAATACACGGTGCGAGTATTTTCATCGCCTCACATCACCTTGTCCATCTCACATGGCTAGCCTTCATTCTCCCCAAAACAGTTTTTAAAGTTCTAACCACAATCTGATGAGGTAATACCCGAACATTAACTGTCGTTCAGACAGACATCAATACGCCGCAGATACCAATGATCACAGTAATACCAACTTATCGTAAACATGTCACTGATTTTCAGTCACGGCCCTCCTATCATGCCGTGTTTGGTGTAAAGGCGATGTGTTCGGTAAACCGATAAAGTACCAAACACAAGTCTGTGGCTAGCTCCTGTTCTGAAACCGGATCCTGTCTCAAAACCTGGGAATGTCGCGAAAAAATAACCCGATTGATTGATAGCGAAATCCGACCAAACTGAGTCGCGACAGACCATACGACGACGTGAGTATATCGGACTTTCAAGCAAGACAGGTATTCTATCTCCTCATCATGTAGTGAACCGAAACCACTTGAACCGAGGGATGATCGAAGAGAGTTTAATTAAAAGTTGATTTACAAAATCATCGAAACGAATAGTGGATGCAAATTAATCGTCACTGGGGTACATGTGCCGATACCATCGATTCATTTACCAAGCGGAATGGTGGGCAATCATGAGATTAAATAGGTGTTTAGGTTCAATCCCCGGTAGGATCGATAGATTCGCATTTCTGATGAATACCAAGAATATCGAAAAAGGGCCATACAGTAAGCGTTCCCCCTAACTTTTCAGTCCACACTTCATTTATCCCGTACACGACCGAATCCACTATATGATCGAATCAAATTACCCACCATACGCATGAAACAAACAAACAAAAACAGAATGCAATGCGAGGTTAAATGAGATACTGTGAACTGACCTCAACGGATCCGCTGAAGAACCATATGTATACAGCATATATGCCGAGGATAAGACAAAGTGGAAGGATGACACGTCGGCAGCGGAACTGCCGTATAAGGGGACGCCTGTGAAATGTGAAAGAGAAGCCAGTTGATAATTAGTAACAGTTGGGGGGGGGGAATAATGCGAAAACAGGTTGCGACTTGAAAAAATCGATTACCTGTAATAGACATCTGGAAGTCTACAGAGGACAGATGAAACAAACGAAATGCTGATTGAGTGGTTCAACTCTCTGTCAAAGAAGTACTGGTCGGTTCATGCTCGGACCTGATCACCATCAGCCTACTTACTCAAGTGGCAGACAGCACCTGAATAACGCAACTCAGTCTGAATCTTATATTTGTTGGACGCAACGCCTTGATAAGCAGGAAAAATGGATTGCCCTGAGCAGTACTTACCACGACTGCTTAAAAAATAATCGTTATCTATAGCACCAGAGAGGCTGCATTTTGTTATCGTACGGTTGATTTTACAGGTAGAAAATGGTTAATTTTGCTTAATCAAATGCTCACCTATCTCGAATGCTTACGAAGGAAACCCCAACTGTCTGACTATAAGTAGCCCATGAAGGCATGATCATATGAAACACGGTGAGTTTCCACCATCGTGAATATTTAATTTTGTGAAATGATACGATTCGTCTACAGTGAAATCCACATCGAGTTCCCAGGTACATTTGAATGCTCTAGAAGGAGCTCTATGCCAGTGACAGTTAGGCTAGTAAAATTCTTCTTCCCAACATCAGATTTGTCTTCGAAAATAAAGGGAAAATAGGATAACCCTGTCATATTCCATTGGTGAAAGATGACCGCATAGCCTAATTCGACCCGGTGAGGCTTGAAAAAAAATGAGAAAATTACATACGGGATATCCCGTCCCCTAGCAGACCTGTCAACAGAGTAGAAGGCTCTTCGGGTGTCAAAAATCATTATGGTGTTTGGCTTATGAAACGCGTGACAATGTCCTAGTAGTGTGCTGATTAGGTATTACCCACCAGCGATTGGAATAGCTGAGAAGTGCACTTTATATATTTCCGGATAGGCTCTTTAAATTGCAAAAAAGTCAGCTTATCCAACAGTTAGAGACACTAGGTAATTTGATTAAATATGATTGGTTCACTTTCCGTAGACAGCTAATTTCAACTGCGGAGTTCATATTGCATTCTGTTCCCTATGTATACAAATATATATTTCATAATAAGTAGTACATCACTGACTAGACAAACTTTCCGTGGAAGCACACGACCGGTTTCGCGGTTCTCGCTGCCCATCAGACAAGCGTATCCGGTAATCTTTTGTTACTTCATCCATATACTTGTGCCCAGGACGTGTATTTTCGTCACAACAGCCCTATTTGCAACACCGGGTGATTTTTGGATATACAGCTACTACAGAACTAGTCCATTGAAGAATCAATGCTATGATTCGACGTTTTGGTGAGTTAGATGCTACATAGATAACCTTTCTAAAAAGAAAAAGGTCCATGATTTCTGTACTCTTGTTCACTCCAACACTATATATCGTCCACTTGATCTATCCAGTCCAAAAACAGCAACGGAAACCGGATTACAAAAGTGGGAGGTTAATGACCGTATGGAAATTAACAGGGTGTCATTTTTCGCCCATTATAATAGCAATAATAATAAATGCTTTTATTTCCTCTTTTTTGTTCAATCAGAATACGAATTCACAGTCAACTTTCAGGAAGGGAGCCGCGGCTATGCAAAAGCTGCCCGGGAAAAATGGAATTGGGAAAGGTGAGAGGAGATGGCCGTGGGATTCGAACGTACGATCTCTGGGTCACTACTTCTATGACCTTAACCATTTGACCATTCCCACCGCCTCGTTCAGTGACTAGGATCGATAATACGATATGTACCAGGCTGTATTTAGAAATCCCTGCTCGCGTAATTAGGCAATCATATAAAAAAGCATTTTAAAGAATTCGAGGAGTTCACCCGAACAAACTCAAGTGTGGTGTACAGAAAACAGAAAACCGAGTTCCGTGCAACCTATAGTGGCTTTTTAAATTCCTTCTTGAAATTTTACAGACATTATTGACAAATTTTAAACACCAGGACAGTTTGGGGAGTTCAACTTTATAAAGAATGCATTGATCGGCGAAACCTGTTAGTGTCTACCATATTTAGTAGTAGATAGCTTCGAAATCGCCCGCTGGAACCTTAATGGTACTTAAGCGCTTGATTAATTGTAGGCTATTTCCTCCAAAATGAGGATGGTTCAACAGTCCTCATTATTGTCCGGTACTGTAAATCCTGGTTCACACTATGAATAGCACATTAATATGCTACCAGGAGCATTTAAAGAGGGATGATAGGACAGTAACCATACTAGAGAGCACCAGCTTTTGTATAAGCAATCACGGATGTTTAGCAGTGTTGCTTAAGAGTCCCCGTCTGACAACGAGCACTCAACATGAAAGCTACGGAAATCCGTAGAAAGCAGTGAGGTGCACCAATGTCCCGTCACTAAATAGGGCCATTTCCGATTCAGTTAAGGACGTGTCTCACGCGAAAATCGGTTGACCAATTGCAAGGTTCACCGTCGGGTATTGAGTGCTAATAGTCGTTCTCTGAAACAATAAATCGTTCTACACCGTCATTGCTGACTCGGTCATAACTACCCAAGTATGTCCACCGTCTACCTCTATCAGCTTTTTTGCACATTCTGCCCAAGACTGGAAGAAGCATTGAGGCGGTCAAACCACAAACTGGTTTGTGGGTATGAGGAAGATAGCGTCAGCATTGGATTTGATCGGCGCAAATCGCGTTCTAAGTTGAGGCTCAATGGATGAGAGAAGCTATGAGATAAGGCTCAAAATAGAATTTAGTGGAGCGAATACTGAATGATGTCTATCGAAATCCCGTACCCCGTAAAAGACAAACAAACAAAATATCAAAAAGTGTACAGTTGAACAAATTATAAAAAATCTTGATCTGTTTTTTTTATTCTGTAGCCAGTTTCTTCATACATTTCTGGTTCGTACCTAGAATGACACAATTACTTGTAATGTGGGCTAGATTTTGTTGATTTATTATTATTACCTCCGAAATCCTCAGTATGGTCAGGGGTGGGTGCATAGAGTTGCAGCTGGTCACCCTTCTCTTGCACCTCGCGAACTACTCCCATAAGACCCATAAGCGTCTCAAAAAGCCTCTGACGAGGAAGCCCTACTCACTGCCTTCTCGTGGCGGAGGTGTTTTCCCACCAAAGTGAGAGGACGAAAAGCCGATATCCGGGACTACAACCGAGTTGGTGGACCACCGGGAGTTCACCTAAAGGAGTTGGCCAAAAACCCTGATTCCAAACCAGCCAAAAAGAGAAGTACGAACTACACACACAACTTCTTGGTTGTAGCAGTGGTCACCGGCTCGATTGGGCATCGAGCTGTAATGGGCACCTTGGACGTTTGACCCCGTCCAAAGGGCGTATTATCCGATGAACTGCACATCGCCTTCCAATGGATTGCGGTTTTCGCACACCGCCCTGCTGCCTTACGGGTCAGGCTTTGGCTAGCCAAAAGCTCCGGTTGTGGATTCCTCAAGAAAATTCACCTGCCTAGGCCTGGGTAACCTGGCAGTATTCAGCCCACAAGCCAATCATGGAACGCTTTTGTTTTTTATAAAGATTATTGTACCATGGTTTGCTTGGAACATAGTCTGTCCTCAGACAAGTGTTTAATATATATATATATATATATATATATATATAACCATTATTCAGATTCAATCTTCACGCACTATCCTGTTCAATCAGTAAACCACACAGACTAACGTTTGGTGAACAGAACTTCACTGATCGCTGCCAAACTCACGGTATAAAAAACTAAGCTGTAATACGAAAGGTGGATGGGGAACGTGCCGGTTTTAAGTGAGGAGGGCAAAGGAAATGAGCTTCTATGGGACAGTTTAACTGTGCATATACACCTGATCTGAAGAGAAATGACAACACGAACACTGTCGGTATAGTATTTTCAACCACCTTATTACAGTTCTTTGCACCTCAGCCTGGAAGGCGAGAGATATCTACACTATCTGATCTTCTCGAGCATTTCGTTGTCCTTTATTTCCACGTTAGCTATTAATACACCTGTGATTTTTACCAAAATGGAGCGGTGACAGCTGAGTATGCGCAATGGCTTTCCTAAGCACCGAATTCGAATTTCGATAAGATAACGACTTTTTCATCGTGACATTGCTAAATGTAAGGGGGCTTACCATGAGGTTACTCATCCGCTCGTTCCATTTTACCTGCGCTAAATTGCAAGATAACAGTATGGAATTACACGGCTGCCGGCGGTCCCCAAGATGCCAATAGCAACTTAATAAATGTGAATGCAACTCATGGACCTATAATTGCTTGTGAGTTGGACGTGTTTCTTTTAAGACCGTTGAGTCAAGCATCAGAACTCATCCACCCACCAAGCAGTAACCGTTTCTGCATGCATATATTTTGAAGTATCGCTTGCTAGCTACTTGGGTTAGTCCGCATGTCGATTACATTTTCGGGGTCTGCTGATCTATGTCTCAGGTTATTTAAGAAAGAGGTGAAAGTTGGGTAATCCATGGAGATCATTGCATTGGAGTTGAATTGATGGATACTTTTAGGGTGTCCAGTCAATAAGCAGAAGAACGATTAGGGTTCTCAACGAAAGCCAAAACCGCAGGGCAGCTGATGAAGCGAATTGGAGGCCCATTTACTTGAATTAGTTACTCTTTGAGCATTTTCTCCCGACTGAAATGCCAGTAGTTTGGGTGCTATCATCGGCGTGCTTTAGAACCTATGATCCGAGGTTCGAGTACCGCCAGCACCCCTGCCACCGATCTTAGGTGGGAGGCAGCTTTGCTGTCGTCCGGTTCAATACCACGGTTAACTAAACGGGGCTTTATGTGGTTTGCTACTCCAAGTCCGAGGGCTTAGGTTACCGGTTACCATGACTGAACAGAAGGTCTTCGCGACTATGAGGTCCGCCTCTTCTGCTGTTCATCATAGTGTAATAAAAAAATTGTATGGAACAAAAAAAAGACATGATTAACAGGGAATGATAATTTCAGTCACAACCCGACAGGGGTTGAGACACCACAAGAACCGGAGACGAAACCCAAGGAGATCTGAAGGAAACTACGAAACTAATATCCCTATACCACAGATTGTTATCCTTAACTCCCAGCTATTGGGACTGTGATCTGAGAAGGATGCACATACCCGACTTGACTGTACTGTACTTTACTGCGGCTCTCCTTGAACAGGACAAACCGGCCCCCTGGGGTGATGGTACGAGAGACATCTTCAGCGTCACTAGGCGACCTTTAACCAACGCATAGACAAATGCGGACTGCAAGGCTGCAGCGTGTTATTAATTACCTGTGACTCCATCGGAGCTCAATCACCATTAGGCTGAAATAGATGCGATCCAGGGTTCCCTGCATCCCTGTTATTGAGACAGACTTCCTTTATACCCATTGGATCAGGCAGTAGATTGTTTTCCCATTCAGGAGTCACTGTTTTCGCACGCCCTAAGCCATTTCGCTTTTAGACCCCGGTTTTCCTCAACCTAGTTTTGTCCGTCTGTCGAGCAGTTTGCGGGGTTTGGTAGCTGATGCAGATATATTCAATGCGTAAGCAATTGCATTTAATTGGCAAATATGCCACAACATATGAAGAAATATGAAAACGGCTTAAATACAAATTAGCCTCGGTTATCAGCCATGTCGGCTAGTGTCCCAAACCATAGATGTTAGCTGTCCTTGGCACCCCAACCTGGGAGCCTAGAACGCTCTACCACTGCCAGTTTCGAGGTAAACGCCTTTATCGTTCAAGCCCTGGTTATTTGTTTTCCAACTCGTCGCCGCTCCCAGTTCTTGTCGGCTTCTCCAAACATAACGCAAAGGGGCAGTCATTGAGCTGGCATTCGTAAGACATACCCCAGCCATCGAAGTCTCTGTAGCAAGAATACGGTACCCAGAAAATGACTAAGATTGTCTGAGGAGAAGATTCTTTGGCGAACCTCATCGTTGGTGGTTCGCTGTTGTTAACGTATTCTGGCTGTGCAGCGAAGGCAACGGTGGTTAAAGACACGTGATCTCCGTACGTTTTCTGCGTGGGTGGGTCAATTCTGACAACCGCAGGGTAAAACTCAGCGTAGTGTTATTGCAAACGCAGCATTCCAAGGAGGGACTGAGATCGCGTCGACGCCATAAGTGACGCAGGTTATAGAAAGCCACTCGAGCCTTGCGGATACGCGCTGGTATTTCTTCTGTCAGCCCTCTTGAGTGGAAACAACTCAAAGATAATTAAAGTGATCGATTATCTCCAACTGGTCGCTCATGAGCGTGAAGATAGATGTAGCCTCTTGCCAATCTTGTAGTAAGACTTTACATTTCAATTGGGAAAAGAGCATCCCACACTGCATGACGCGCAACGCTAACTCACACAGAACATTTCGAGCGACTTGAAAGGAGTCGCAGGGTAAAACGATGTTGTCAGCATATTCCAAGTCACGAAGAAACTCCTCACCGGAAGCCCGTTAGTATTCAAGAGCGCTGCTTAGGATTTTGTCCACAACGAAATTAAAGAGGAAGTGTGAAGCCGGGCATCCATGTCGAACTCCGATTATAATGGTAAATGAAAGACAGATGCGGCTATGGACCTTGACGCGGCTTGATTTATTTTGATTAGACGGCTCTGAGAAGGTCTACGTCTTTATTAGGCATACCGCTTCATAACAAGTTCAGAGAGCTACTCTGTTAAATGAGTCAAACGTAGCATCTATGTCCAAAAAGACAACGCTGATCGGTCCATTGAACGTTTGACTTTACACGACAATCTGACGTAGAGTAAATATTTGATCAACGCAGCACCGGCCATTAGGATGAAATGAATCAAGTATTCTACATTGTTTGGAATAAGGTAGTTCTCTGACAAGACTTGCACCACCGTCTTTGAAAACGGTAGGAGAGAGCTCATCTGACCCGAGTGGATTGTGGAGCTTCGGGAGCTCCAGCTCTCGGGAGACATCTTCCTGGGTAAGCGGTGAAATGTCCACAGACCATGGATAACTGCGTACAGCAAGGATGTTAGTGGTAATGTTGACGGTTAATTGCTTTGCCCAGAGCCCAAGCCGACGTCGTAGATTGTTGCTGCAATTGCGATCAGTTTTGTGTATGGTTTCGTTGACGCATGATTTTTTTTACCGGTGGCTCGGATTAGTCGAAAAAGCGTATGAGAACTATCGATAGAAGCGGCTAGTTCAGCCTCAGAAGCGCGTTGTGCTCACCGGGTCTCTCGGTCCACTTTAAGGAACAGTCTCAGTTCAGCACTGAGTCCAACGAATTGTGTATACACTAATTGTATTCACTACCTACAAGGATGCTTCGCCGAGTGTCAAGCAGATGAAGAGAACGTGTGGAAACCCAGTGGTTGAGGGAGAAGACTTCTGCATGACGTTACGGATGTGAGCTGATGCATACTTCGGCTTCGTGGAGCCACAGATGAGAGTTGGGCACATGATGGTGACCAAAGAGGAGGATGCATCCAATGGGAAGATAATCTACCGACTGAAATGTAAGCATGTGAGCGTGCACAAATTGTACAAATA